ATGGATATACAAATTCAAGTTTCATTTTGATGGATCCATTGAGAGACACAAAGCCAGGTCAGTGGCTCAGGAATTCACCCAAACCTATGCATTGGATTACAAGGAAACTTTTGCATCTATTGCACAAAATGAATACAGTAAGGGTGCTATTGCCTGTGGTTGTCAACAAAGGATGGTCCATGTATCAAATGGATATGAGAAAGCATTCTTGCATGGTGATTTAGAAGAAGACATATATATGAAGCTTCCACCATGACACCCTCAAAATAATGAAGCTAACTTGGTTTGTAGGTTACATAAATTGATTTATAGGCTAAAGCAATCTCCTAGGGCTTGGTATGCCAAGCTCATTTCAGTGTTTGAAGCGACTGGGTTCAAAAGAAGCAATGCAGATTCATCTCTGTTTGTTCGAACTGGGTCTTTTGTGAAGCTGGTATTGTTGATTTATGTTGATGATTTAATTATCATAGGTGACAATGGTGAAGAAATCACTAATCTCAAGCACTCTCTTCAACAAAAGTTTGCAATCAAAGACTTTGGTGTGCTAAAATATTTTTTTGGGATATAAATGGCTACATCAACCAAGGGGCTGTTTTTAAACCAAAGAAAATATGTTTTGGATGTTTTAAAGGAATCCAATATGAATGATGCCAAACCTGTGCATACTCCCCTTAATAGCAAGCTCAAACTTAGCTTAGAGGGCATGCTTCTTCCCAACGTGAGTTATTATCAAAGGTTAGTGAGCAAGTTAATTTACCTAACTATCATCAGACCTAATATCATATTTTCTGTTAGTATTGCAAGTCAATTCAAGCATTACCCTACAATGGAGCACATTAATCTTATTAAGAGGATTCTACGATACCTCAAAGGGTATATTGGATGAGGAAAAATCATGAAACAAAATAAAAACACCCAGGTAATGGGATATTGTGATGCTGATTGGGTAGGAAATGCAATTGATTGCAAGTCCACTACTGGGTATTGTAATTTCGTTGGAGAAAATATGGTCACATGGAAGACTAAAAAATAAAGTGTCGTTGCCAGGTCCAGTGTTGACACCGAGTATCGTGCCATGGCATCAATTGCATGTGAACTAATATGGCTTAAAGGACTCTTGGGTGACTTAGGGTTCCATACACACCAACCCATGTCCCTATTCTGTGACAAACAAGCGGCAATGCACATTGAATCAAACCCAGTGTTCCACGAGAGGACTAAACACATTAAGGTAGACTACGACTATGTTCATGCTCAAGTTCAAACTCAAGTGATCCAAACTCATTACACAGGAAGTAGTGATCAATTGGCAGATATTCTAACCAAACCCTCACCCACAAATTAGTTACAATGCCTTCCCTCCAAGCTTAGTTCCATCAATCTTCTGAACCCAACTTGAGGGGGAGGATTGGAAGTATTCAAAGTCCTCTAGGTAATTAGGGTCACTGGGTAACTAGAGTTCTATCAACTACAAGCTGTTTTACTCCTGGGTATTGCATTGGGTCTCTAGGTGGTTAATAGCTTGTTGTACTTTTCTTGTAATTAGGAATTCATGTATAGTGGTTTACATAAGTCAACTCCTTGTTTTAAGGAGCTGCTTATAGTTATGTTCCCTAAGCAGATGTTAAGGTCTCAATCAAGGAGGTGATCAGTGTGTTGATCACGACTCCTCTTATATATGTTGTATCTCTAAGATAGTTATCTCCATGAATGAAATACAAACTCAAAATTAGAAAGGCATTAGTATTAAAGTAGATTAACCCACGTATCACAATTGTCTATGTACTCTCATGTGACCCAATATATATATATATATATGTGTGTGTGTGTGTGTGTGTGTATGTTGTCACATGTTAGACTAAACATCATATGTTAAGATGGCGTGTTAAGGGTATGGCATATGGTTTAAAATTATTTTACTTGACACTACACACTTATTTCGTATTCAAATAATTGTAATTAGTTTCTTGTGTATTTTTCTAGCATTACTCGTGCAGAAGCAGTATTAGAAACACCAAATCAGTATTCCTAAATTTTGTTTCCGATTCAAGTGGCTGTGTTTTATCTAGGCCAGCTTCCTTTGTGCATGTATTTTGACAATACATATTGTATATCATCGTCATCATCATCATTATAATACGTTTGCATCATACATCAAGGCAGATGGTTCCAAATGTTTGTGTACATGTAAACTTTTCTCGCACTTGTCCTGGTGTTCATCATTTTAAAATTTCATTCTTTTATTATAAGCATGCATTTGGGTTATTATAATCACACAGATGAGGTGGGAGAGCATATTGAGACTTTGGTCGAGCCGCATCGATCCCATTTCAAAAACTAAATCATTGAGGAATAAAACAAGAAAATGACAAAAATTATAATATTTCTCTCTTTTATTTCTAGCTAGTACTTTTTTAAACCTCTTATTTTACACAAAGCTTATCGAAAAACATGAACTAAAACAATGAGATGATCGATGTCGCTTCATATGTATCTGCATTTTTATATTCTGCACAGACGCGTAGCTTGACAAACATGAACATAGACGAGTATATTTACAAAGTATTATTATATATGCAACTATTTGTATCGAGTTGCAAAGTATCTTTTTATGGTAGTCGTTTGAATTTGGTTACAATTTTTCTTTCATTCCTTTTGAATTTAGGGTTTTCTTTATGAAAAATTCTGTTGTGTTGAACTGGTCAACCCTTGACTGGTGTCCTTTCACCATCTAAGCCTCATAACAATCCGGACAAAGATATATGTAATTAATTGAAGATATTCTTTTTTTCCATAACTGAACAAATTCCAATGGGGATAATGGTTGGTGTCATTGGCACGATATATATCAAGTGTTTAGGTCTGTCCTTTTTCTTTGGACTATTGAATCTCTTAAATAATTGACTTAGCACTATTGAGAATTTTAGTAAGATATTCAAAATGGTGGCTAGGGGAGACTAATAATGTCTCTATGAGTCTTTTCGACCGCGGAAGGAGACTGTTAGGACGAAACTACCAACTGGTCCTTTTTTAAAAAACAATCATTTTACAATGATTACGTACAATTAATACTTAAGCTATACAATATGATAAATTAAGCAGAGAACAAGGCGACATTTCATTCTACTTGCAAGAGACCTCAATGTGAATAGCAATGATTGTGAGAATCGGTAAATATTTCTAGCCACGAATACAAATTTGACTGAATAACAGCATAAAGCGGAAGATTCATACTAAAAACCTCATAGAGAGAGAGAGACTACAAAACATACATCGAACTCAACCTAAATTTCTGCAAATTAATACTGAAAAAACGGGCTAAACACTAAAGAGCTCTTCAAAATCACAACGCTACATATTAGCATGGATATCAATCTCATTCATCTTCCTGCCCAAAACGCTATATCTTGTCAGCGGCCCAAAGTGAGAAAAACGTTGATCCTAACATGATGGTTGGGGTTTAATACAATTAATAAGGAAATAAAAGGAGGAGGCAATGTGAAGAGTAACATAATGTAACCAAACAGTGTGACCATAACATGTAGTTTATTGATGTTTTAGCATTACTATCCAGTGTTATATCCTCTCATAATTATTTTCTTCAGTGTTAGATAATTTTCTCTTTTTACTAAACTTATAGGAAAGGTGTTATGTCACTACTCACTACTAGAAGATATTATTTTGCCCACAGATTCTAAACCGACGAAGCAAAATTTTATCAGTGAGTTGATCCTAACCTGATGATTTGGGATACTTTGGAAAATCAATAATTCCCATTTACATAAGAAGAAGAAGAAGAAGAAGATTGGGATACTTTGGAAAATCAATAATTCCCATTTACATAAGAAGCCTGATGATTTGGGATACTTTGGAAAATCAATAATTGCCATTTACATAAGAAGAAGAAGAAGAAGAAGAAGAAGAAGATTGGGATACTTTGGAAAATCAATAATTCCCATTTACATAAGAAGAAGAAGAAGAAGAAGAAAATAATCCATTTCCACCCTTTGTTTTAAGTCAACATAAACACTATCTTTGCACAAGATTGAAGTCAAATTAGTATGATTAATTCCGTTATAGGGTCACGCACATTCTTGTTCTCTAGCTCCTTGCTTGAATTAGTCCAATTAGTTTTTAACCTTTTCTCCTCTGGAGAATTAATTAATGATAATATTGTAGCTTAGCAGCCTAACCATTGTTTTACGGCTCTTGCGAGAATATGCATGACCGATGCATCTTACGATAAAGCAAAAGAGGCGGCAAGCAGCAGTGGTGTAATAGCTTTATCTTGGAGATTCATAATCTGATCAAATCTGCATCTTATACATATTTTTATTCTTCGAACCATGCAAAAATGTCAGACATATATATATTCAACCATCTTTTATCTTGGTAAGTAATATTCAGCTTTTAAAGCTTTTAAGCCATGCCCTCATACAAATTAATCAATGTTCAATCATACCACTGCAATTATAGAAAGTTTGGGATAAAAAGGGTCTACTGCCCATGACGTAAAACATACATCTCTCTCTCTCTCTCTCTCACATATGTATATATAAATAGATATACAAATATACAAATGATAGTCCTTTTTACAAGGCTACTTTTTAAGCTTTCTTTTTTTTTTCCTGCTTACTTTTTTAGAGATAGAAGGGAAAGGTTGGAGAGCACAGTAGTTGATTAGTTTAAAGGGTTTTTAGCATTCAGAACAAAAAATATAAACTTTATCTGAAAAGCTTTTGTTGCGCGTACAAATAATAAAGAAGTGAGTGAGTTGAGAGAGAAAGGAAATATTTTTATTTTCTTTCTGGGGTTTGTGTGAAAGAGAACAGAGGAAAAGACAGAAAGTGCAGACGTCAGAGGTTTGGCCGTAGGGTTGCCTTCCCCTTCGGTTGTGGTTTTCGTGATTTTTTTGTTTTTGGACTGGGGATTCAGGATTACAGAGGTATCTCTCTTATCATCCACATCTATCTCTCTCTCTCTCTCTCTCTCTCTCTCTCTCTCTCTCTCTTATCTCTCTAAGCTTTTATCTTTTGTGTTCATATATATTTGTGTGGCTATACTTTGGATCTTCTTGGTGTTTCCAAGCATATGGCTACTGAACCATATTGGAGGAGAAAAGTAGCTACCTACCTATACATACAGGATCTCTCTCTAAAATCCTTCAGAAAAAACAAAAATTGTCTCTAGGGTTGGAGCCAAACAAATTTATGTAAGAAACAATCAAGGTGTAAATGTGTCCATAGTGGGTGTTATTTGGTTGAAAGACTTCGACTAAATTATCTCCATTTTTGCATCTTACTTTGGTTTCCCTCCCTCTCCCTGTCTCTCTCTCTCTCTCCCCCCTCTCTCTCTCTCTCTCCCCCCTCTCTCTCTCTCTCTCTAGTTTTCTGGTTTGATTTGTTTTGTCTTTTAATCAGATCCTGAACACTTCTCACCCTCAATCAGAAAAATCAAGAGCCTTATATACGGGGGACCTAAAGATGCAAGCTTCCTAATAATCCAAAAGTTTTGGTACCCAACAAAAAGATGATGCTCTTCCATCAACAACAATCACAGCAGCTGGTCGATGAGAACATTTCTAATCTTACTTCAGCATCAGGTGAAGCTGCTAGTGTCTTATCTGGCAACAGAAATGAAATTGGTACCAGATTTTCCCAACAGTTTTTTACCACACCACCACAAGCTCAACCAACTCTCAAAAAGAAGAGAAATTTACCAGGCAATCCAGGTAAAATTAATTAATTATTCACAAATTACAATCAAAACCCAAAATAATTCACCTTTAATCTCTATCCTTTTATTAATTTCTGGATGTTTTGATTGATTTTTTGGGTCAGACCCAGATGCAGAAGTGATAGCCTTGTCCCCCAAGACACTAATGGCAACAAACAGGTTTATCTGTGAGATCTGCAACAAGGGGTTTCAGAGAGACCAGAATCTACAGCTTCACAGAAGAGGGCACAATTTGCCATGGAAGCTCAAGCAAAGAACAAGCAAGGAGGTGAGGAAGAAGGTATATGTGTGCCCAGAAGCCAGCTGCGTCCACCATGACCCTTCAAGGGCTCTTGGGGATTTAACTGGGATCAAGAAGCACTTTTGCAGAAAGCACGGTGAGAAGAAGTGGAAATGTGACAAGTGCTCAAAGCGGTATGCGGTTCAATCGGACTGGAAAGCTCATTCCAAAACCTGTGGTACTAGGGAGTATAGATGTGACTGTGGAACCCTTTTCTCGAGGTAAACCAATTAAGTACCCTCAAATTCGTCATCTTTTCTAAGCATTTACATTCATGAAATTGCGAGGACACTCTCTTAATTAGTGATTAATCCAAATACTAATTAATCAGGCATATATCTTCATCTATGAAATAATTAAGGACTTGGGTCATTAGAAAAAGATGATTTCTCAATTACCCAGATTTCAAAATTGTAAATTTAATTCAAATAAGTTACTTGTTTTGGACTTGGGTAATAATCAAGTTACATATTCTTTATTTGGTTCGTTGAGTGAACCAAGATGAAACATTTTAATGCACACGGCCTAATCTGGACTGCCTTTGTCCTTTGTTTGGCTCTCTGAAATAGAAAAAAATTAATGAAAACAGAAAGAAATGAGAGCAAAAGGGAGTGTGTGTGGGAAGGAAGTCAATATATTTCTGTCTGCAAAAAATGTGTTTTTATGCAAAAGCACTTTTATGACATGGGTTTTTGCTTTTGTTTGCTTGTGGTTTGTCTGCTGTTGGGGATTTTCATCAAAACAGGAGGGATAGTTTCATCACTCACAGAGCCTTCTGTGATGCTTTAGCAGAAGAGAGTGCAAGAGCCATCACCTCAGCAAACCACCCTCATCATCTTCTCATCTCTCAGCAGCAACCACAGATGAATCTTAATCAAGTGCAATTAGGGCACCAATTCAATCAAGACATCCATGGCTTTTCACTGAAAAAAGAGCAGCAGAGTTTTACAACCCTACGGCCAGATTTACCACCTTGGCTGGGCCCACCAAACTGTACCATTGACCTCTCCTCATCCTCCTCACTCTTCTCCCCAACCCACCACCAAGATTTATCCCTCCATGATTCCCACAATGACACATCCCAAAACCCTAACCCCAGCTCACTCCCACCCTTCCAGCCTGCGCCTTCCCCACACATATCAGCCACTGCATTGCTACAGAAGGCAGCTCAGATGGGTGCAACCATGAGCAGCAAGAACAGTACTACTGCTGCTACTACTTCAGAAGCAGCTGCAACCTCTGCATCTCCACAACCCATGGTGAGGGCCCACCAGCACAACCCGGGTCACGTGTCTGATTTTGCTGCAGCAGGGGCCAATGCTATTCCTGGCACAACTGGTCCTGCTGTCTCAAGTGTTCATCATCACCATCAAAATCAACATCAACAAGCTTCTCTGCTCCATGATATGATGAACTCCTTGTCATCCGGAACTGGGTTCGAAGGGGCTGCTTTTGAGCTGGAGCCTTTCGGGTCCATCCCCAACATGTTGAACAACAATGCGAAAAAAGACTCGAACAATTTGACCCATTTCAACGTTAGCGGCAGTGACGAAGGCGGTGGAAACGGTGAAGGTTTGACCCGAGATTTCTTGGGACTGAGATCACTGTCTCACAGTGACATTCTGAATATTGCTGGTCTTGGAAACTGCGTCAATACTGCTAATGCTCCTGCTACTACTGCTTCCCGTGACTACCAAAAACCTTGGCAAGGTTAAGCTAGCTCTTATATACGGATCATGACTAAACATTTATTTTCGTTTTTCACTTGAATATAATTTTGAGTTGTTAATTATATAGTTCGTTTCTCTTTTGTTAATTACTCTCTTAAGACTCGATCTTCTTCCCGAAGGGAAATTAAGGGCCTCGTAAACTTGATGAAATGCCAACATTTTGATGGCTTATGTGACTCTTTTTTAAAAATTACTTCTTGCCTTTGTTTCAGTTGTTTGAAATTGCAATTCATCATATTATGTGCTTCTATATATGTATTTAGAGTAAACATGATAGGGTTTAGGTTTAATAAAAAATTAATATATTTTTCCCATTAGGCTAGTTCTTATTTTATAATCGATAAGTACATCAAATTAAACTAAACTATGAGAATGAGAATTTGATTTGGGGGCACTAATATACTTGCCTACTGCAGCCAAATTAATATTAGACTCTTTACTAAGTACAATATAGATATATATATATATATATATATATATATATATATATATAGTAAGTTTACTTTCCCATCGATATAAAAGAGGGGATAATGATATATCCAAATCTCCGGCCTCGCTTTTCTAAGTCTATAATTTCTTAGGTTTCTACCCAACAAAAATTTATGGATATATTGATGCTCTAATAGTCAATGCATTATTGTATTGTAGAATTTTCCTCTTTCCTAACCTTAGTTTTATTGGCAATTTACTAATTCTGAGTAAACGTATACATATCTTTCAATGCGATAAGTGTTTTAGCCGTTGTATTTAATTTCCACAACTATTTAGATCTTCTATTTTTAATTTAAGCCATTCATTTCATTGTATCATTCAATGTTACGTATAGGCTTGGCAAACGGATCAAGTTTGCCGTGTTTCGTGTAACATATGTTATCTTAATGGGTCGTGTCGTGTTATATCCGTTACCGTTATCTTAACAGATCCTTAACAAGTCAAGTCACTTTACCCAACAGGTAAAATGACCTAACCTGTTAAGAAAAATATATATATTATTTTAATTTACACGTACTACGTTGCCACATAAATATTACTTCAAAACATAAAAACAAATTTGTCGTTAAGTACTACATCTACACTCCAAAATAATAGCCTAATAAAAAAGCACCAATAAAACTAATAGTATACTACAAAATATCAAATGTGCAAGGACATGCAAAATGAAGGCGTTTTTCTTTTTAAGGTTGTGAAGCCTTTCTTAGAAGTTAAAACTTTGCCAATGAAACTCAAAATTTGCACGTTATTCCTTTTACAAAATCGTTCAATTTTCATTGATTATCATGGGAAAATTTTATTTGAACTTTGGCTGATCTATTGCCTTCAAGAGTTTTGTTGATGATGTCTTCTGTAGGTTTTTCACATCAGAACTCTCTTCCGCATAAACTAAGTATAGAAAAACCAAACATTATAAACTATTCAAATTATGAAAAGAAATAAAACAGTAGTACTATACCATATAAAAATATATTACCTCCTTCTCCAAATTTTCTAAATTTAATATATATATATATATATAACTAATATATTTTTTAGGGGTATAATATTATGTATCAAGTTACCTACGTGTATACCCAGAGCAACCTATTGTCTTAACAGGTGCTTATTGGGTTACCCGATAACGATCCGATTCGTTATCGTGTAGACCCGATAACCTATTAATTTTGTGTCGAGTTAACGGATCGTGTCAGAAATTACCAAGCCTAGTTATGTAGTATTGAAAAAAAAAAATTCTAAAAAGTTGATGCCTAATATTTGATTGAATAAGAAACATCGGGCCTTCCATTCAATTCATGTTAGGCAAAATTATATAACGCCATTTGTCACCAGAGATGACTGGAGATCTGCTAGTTCCATCTCCAGCCATGTATGGCTAAATCTTTCCATCTTGACTTGAGATGCACATGTTGGTGTCCTGTTGAGGAGCTTGAGGGCTTGCTACATGTACCCAGCCCTTAGCTAAGTTTAGCCCAAATTCTTTTTAGGAGATTTATTTTGGTCCTTGGTCAGAGACGAGTTTTACTATGGTTAGTCTTTCTTGTCAAATTACGATTTTTAGTACATGTACGTACATAGTCTCATAGTATGAAATTTCAAAATTATGGATTTAGTTTATATATCAAGAATTCATGAAATGCAAATGTTTTGTTAGTACAGGAAAATGAATCCATGAAATGGAATGAAGCTAACTATTTTTCCTTACATTCTTAAATCCATCTTAATCTCAGATGGGTTCCACAATACTAAAACAAGATGTTGAATAAAAAGTTAGTTTGACTGCAAATTAGTGTCAGTTGGAATTGAAATTAGTGCAGGAGTTCACATTCTTGTTACCATACTAGCTATTTACTTTGCTAAACAACCATGCAGAGATCAATTTTTTCTATAATTTTCTTGTGTTTTTTTTTTTTTTTTTGTGTGTTAAACGATAGATTTGTTAGATTAAAGAGCCGACATGATTCGAACTCACACCGTGATGGAATGACAACACTCCTCTTCACCATTATAGTAGAGAGCTACTTGTGTTAAATTTCACTCTCCTATATATTTTGTTGGTACTCCCCTTTAAAGCCAAAAAATAAGCATGTTAGTCACTAACCCCAAAATCATGGTGGTCTAATTTGTGGGCCCATTTCAAAATTTGTAAAAAGTAGGAATAATGTGTCTAAATCATTGGCTAAAGCTTAAAGGTGTACAAATCATATGTTAATTAGCTCAATCCTTATTCTACGATGCATGTTAGCCCACAAGAGCACCCTCTCCCTATTGAGAGACTTGGGAAAGGGGAAAAAACTTGAGTAGGGCTACTTGAGGATTCAAGCTCTTACAATAAGATTAATGTAGTGTTAGATGAGATTAAATTACAAGAATCCTATATATCTTGTGAGATATACCTTACAAATGACATGATAGGCAACTCTTGTTTTAGTATACTTTACAGATGACATGATCTGCACCTCCCGTCTTTGTTTCTTTATCTAACTACGCATCTAATTATTTTAATCAAAGTAGTAAGCTTTGAATATGCCAATATATGCATGTTAGTGGGGGGAGAGGAGTGGGGGAGGGGGTATACGGATTATGGGTACAAAAAAGCATAAGATTCGTAAAATGTAACATGTAAAGCCTGAGCAACTTAGCTTTGTTTTGGTTTAGATATTGCTGGATTGGTGTGGGTGGGGGGTTGGGGGAGGGGGTATACGGATTATGGGTACAAAAAGGCATAAGATTCGTAAAATGTAACATGTAAAGCCTAAGCAACTTAGCTTTGGTTTGGTTTAGATATTGCTGGATTTGGATCCCATCTGGATCCAAATTGTGAGAATCTTAAAGATCTTTACATTCTAGTCGTTCATCGTAAATCATGCGGTCAGAAATTATTTTAAATTTTTTTATTAATAATATTTAATAAAAATTAACTGCACAATATACGATGAACGATTATAATATGAAAATTCCTAAAATCTTCACAAAATTCAAAAAGATCCTCGTCCGGTATTGCTGCAGCTGTTCTGCTCATATCAACACACAAAAGAGAGATGCTGTTTGACACCTGTTGTGGGTACAATGCAAGTGGGATTCAATCCCGAGGGAACATCACTCTTTTTCTAAATATACAGTTTTTTTCTTCTTTAATTATAGTTTATCTCCGTCAAATAGTAATTTTTACTTGCATCATATTTAAAATACCTATTCATTTTATATATATAATATACATATTTATACATGAGTTTACATCACAAATTATTTCTGAAATTAACTTATATCATCAAGATGATCATTAAAATTGAAAATCAATCAATGTAATTTCATAATAGATATCTCAAATCAATATAGTTATTCCATTGTAATTTTTTCAGAAAATTTGTTATGTGTTAATGTGGCACAATTGTTTTGTGCCACTATTTTTAGAGATTATATTGATCGATTTTTAATTTTAAAGACTTTTTTCAATAATGTGAGTTAATTTCAGTAACCATTTGTAATAAAAACACTTGGGATGATAACATATTCAAAGTACTATTCTCCTTTTTTGGTTTGTGGTATATTTATAAAGTGCATGATAAGTTAGTGCTTCTTTTAAGTGACTTGTAAACAAGCCAAACACGATTGATTGCCTAATGATACAACTTCCCTAGAGGCTCAAGGTTCATTCAGAAGAGAAATATGAATCTTAATGCTGCTTCCTTGTGTGTGTCCACATGCGACCCCGAGAGAGAGAGAGAGAGAGAGAGAGAGAGAGAGTTAATATTATATATGTTGTGTTGAGTAATCAGTTAAGATATGATTAGCCCATCATCAGATAAAGTAGATTTATATAGAATCAAAAGGTGTAAAAGAGATTCTCATCCTGAAAGAGTAAAGATCATTGCAAATTGTTTAGGTCAATGTTGCAGGTAGTGTATTGCATGTATAGATGTGTCTGAGCTACTTTGACAGTGGTCTAATTTGCACTTGTTCTTTCATTGGTTTTCAAAAAGTAAACAAATTTAGATTACCAAAAGAATATTCCTCTCAATTCCCACTTATCTAGGCATGGGTCGCGTGCAACCACGTGGAACCAAATAAGTTTTTTAATGTGATTGTCATATATTTACGCAAGATTATCAATTCATTTGTACAATAGTAGTGCATCTGTTCATTGGTATTACACTTTAAGTTCATAAACCATAAACTCTAAACCCTTCCCCTCGAACCCTAGCTTCGAAATATTATGGGAAAGACAAATTTTGAAGTGAATAGTGTTTCTACGATGAATTGATGAATTTTTTTATAAAGTTTTTGGTGTCTATTTCAGTCCAAGATATTTTTCTAAAAAAAGAATGATGAGACGAGCCCAACACACAACTATCTTGCTATATAAGATGGATTTTGTGGTTTTAATCACTTTTAGTAGGTCAAGAATCGCTTTTAAGTTATTTTTGAAATTTCATTATTTCTCTTTTTGTTTTATTTTCACAACTATGATTTTCTAGAATTATTTAAACAACTTTTAGAATTGTAATTTATTTATGTTATTCATCCTATTCATGAAAAAAAGTTTCTATCAAACTTAGGTTGAAAATTTTTCCCGAAAATTACAAATCAAACCATAAAAACCCCGATCCTATATCGAAAAATTTCCAAACCGATAATACCAAAATTTTTGGGTTCCATACCGAACTTTTTGGTATG